TGTGGTTATTTTATTATTTGGACTGTCATGTCCTCATGTCAACTTCCATAGAGTTGGCCAAACGGGCTGTGTTTTAGTATGAAGTTGGATGGAAATCATGCAATAAGCGGCGCGAGATACAAATTAAAAATACGTACAGAACATTTTGAATTTTGATACGTCATTGTTTTAGAATCATATACTTATGATACAATAACTATATAAACTTACTATAAAATGATGAAATACATATTTACCGTTTTAAATATGCTGTACCCGACACACACATTTAAAAAAAAAATCACCATTTTTACCAGTTTTTGTTAAATATTCCTAATAACTGAAAATATATACAATAATTATCTAATTAATATCCTTTTATTTCATATATACAAATCAATTATCTAAATTGGTTCCATTCATTGTCTACTTAATAATAAATTACTCTGTTTTATTGTACCCTAGTTTATAATCATCTCATCGCATTATTATTTCTAATTATCTAAAATATTTACGAGTGCAGTTTGGAAGCTCAATATTATATGTACTGATAATTGTTTTATTCTTGGTCTCTTAAAAGAATCTATTGATTGCACTACCTACACCTTGTTCTTCTGCTGATCAATACAACTCTGTTGTTTCTTCTATTGCTGGAAAAGAAAATATTTGGTTAATTCATATTATAATATACATATATAAAAAAAATTGAATAAAAATGAAACAAATGCTACAAATAGGACACGAGTATGAAAATATAACTGAAGAAACATAAAATGAATTAAATATGACAGTCTTTAGATCATATATTTGCATTACATAGCTTTGATATAATAATAAATACAGTTAACAATGTCCATTATGTTGATTATATTGCACATCACTATAATTCATGCATATTACTGTGTATTTTAATTATTTATTGACAACGACAATACACTGGGATGGGGTGGCAATTACTATAAGATTATTCGAGGCTCTGCAAACTGATTTTATTCAAAATAAAAATATGTTTAGTCCAGTTTTATATTAGTACATAAAACGATTATGAGCCAATTTCTTTAAAAATGCCTAGGTCCCTATACTCCAACATTATAAAGATATCTTTATCTCAGTTCGCAAAACCTGGATTTTAGCTTAATATTTTAATTATTAACTATTGAATTGTGTAAAAATGACATCAATATAATTTTAATATTGAACACTTATTATGTTAAATATTAATGTTTTAACAGCAATATAAAAAATCACAGTGTATGCTGATTTTATCCATTATTATTTTTTTTATAATTTGTTATCAAAATCGCTATACATCTTGATACCATTTGGATATCTATAATAATTAATAATATATAACTAAAAGATAAAATTAAATATTTATGTTGTTGAGATTAATATCAATTCAATGTAAAAATTACTAAAATGGTATCAAAATGTTGGAATTGTAATTATATTGATTTCACGAAACCATTTGATTATTTTCATTGAAAAATCGTTCTTTACATCATATGAATTTGTAAAATTTGAACACAATTATCAGCATATTTTTTTAAATAATAAATTTATTGGTAACATACATTTGTGATATACCATATATAAAATTGAAATTGGTAGTAGTCACATATAATATTAAATGTGACAGTGTTTGTTATTTTAAAAATAAATTAAATATGTTAATTATATAATTAACAATAAAACGTTTACATAAAAATAATATTTTAATTGATTATGCTCGTATATATTTACTTCAAAGTAATTACGAATTAATATCACTTTTGACATCGATAACTTTCATCTTGTAATTAAGATTATATTAATATAATATATTAATTATTACAATGAGCAATGGCTTCATTCATTTTAAATCATGGCTTCTAAGTTAATTTCTATAGCAAAAAAGCAACTGATAATTTAGTCTTTCTTCTGCAGCAATTTATAATTAACAACTATTTTGCTTTTCACAACGCTAATAAGTATATATCATAGATTAAAGCCTTTTAGCCTACCTAAAGGCTCGAGTTATCTAACATAATATTAATTATAAATAAATAACAACCGTAGCTAAATCATTTATCTAATTTCATCAAGTCTGTCACTATTTTAAATTGATCTAATTGTAAGCAAATTAAGGCGTACATATATTTTGCTTGAATCACATTTCAGCAGCCTGCAAAACTTTAAATTAATATAATTGTTATCAATAATTAGCAATATAAAAATTTATATTATATTTTCTTGATTTAGCTTTTATGTTACTAATCGTATGACTTTATGACTATTTTATAGAACAAATCAATATTAAATGCTTTTGTTACTTTTGTGTCTACGATATGAATTGCATTTTAGACTTCTTGTTGAATGTTAATATGGAAATATATATTTCTTGATTTTGTAAAACCACTTGAATGTAATTTTTCTATTTCATCAGTACATCTAGAACATTGTAAACATTTCTACCACAGTTATCTATGAAGCCTATATTGTTTGAATATTTGTTTCATTTTAAGCACTTGAATAACAACACAGTTTTTGTATTAATAATGCTTCTACTACAAAATTTCGTAAAAAAATTAAATTCGTGGACAAACCATCATTGAGAAGACATTATTCATGATAATATGCAAAATTTCATCATGATAATGCATTCTAAACTATGAAAATATCCACGATACTATTTTCTCTGTATATTGCAAAAATACTAACAAAGAGTTGACCATATCCTTTTACAACCTTTGGCTAATTCTAACATGTCCTCTGTACTTATTTGTGATTTTTTTTTAGCTTAATTAAATTAATTATGCATAGGCACTGTTTGTCATATGTTCAGAATAACTTATATATGACCTAAAACGCTATTTCATTAAAAAAGCTAGTGCATCAAATGTTGTTCGATAATAACAGTGACTTTGTAAACATAGTTTATATATATATATATATATATATATATATATATACATTTAAACTTCTTAACAAATCTAATCTATGCGTAGAAACTCATGTACATAATTCCTAAGTGCTTCGTCTAGTGATGTTTGCATTTGCATTTGTATTCATTATAAACAAATTTAATTTTTGCTTTATAAATTATCTTTACATTACACACCAATAATTGTTTATCCATTTGCTTAATTATAATCTTAACAATTTCTGATTTACAATGATTTATATGAGATGATTCGTGAAAACTGTGATTGTACATTGATTTTTGAGTAATTTAGAGACTTAAGATAAAAAATCGTGAAAACTGTCGAATTTGTACATCTAATTTATCATTATGTAAGATGTGTGTCATATAGAAGTGATAAATTAAGAAGAAAATATTAAAAAATAAACTTAGATAAAAATAAGATAGAAAATATTAGCACAAATAATAAATGGGTATCAATTTTAAATCAGTATTTTGAACCCTGTACATGTAATCTTATTTTTCTTAAATAATATCATTCAGTCGATTTCTTATAAATAAATTGGAATAATAGAATATATTCTTGATAGTACGGAACCCTAAAAATGTCTATAATATTTTATATTGCCGATTAATTACTAACACGGTTATTATTAATATGCGACATTTATGATTGTTTCACATATTAGGGGCTTAAATCAATTTTTTTTTTATATTTATACCATTTTATTACAGATACACGCTTATAATTTTCTAAAATGACTTAATCTTGATATGGTTTTATAAAATTTGAGTATAATGTATTATTTAGTATTTTAGTATTATATTTATTCAATTGAAAGTTCTCGATAGACATTTTAAAGTTTTATGAATGAGTTTTAGGTGATATGGAAGCTTATGAAAATTACTTGGAGAGGTAAGTGTTTTAGTGGGTCCTTTGATTTTAAAGCGATATGGGTCCTAAATGTGATCTAAAAGAATTAATTGCGCAATTGTTTAGATGAATATTAATGTGAGATTATTGAATTGTTTTCTATTCAATTGTACAATTTTCTTTGTGAGTTTGTGATAAGTTTCTTTTAGAGTTTGTGATAGCTTTATATACTGATAAACAATAATTTACGTCTAACAGAATTAAATATAACGAACTAAAAATGTATTATAAAGAGAATATGATTTGGATGATGAACTAATGAAGATGATATGAATGATTGATTATATTTTTAAAAGGCTGATCCTGCAATTGCATTGCATTTCCTTACAAATTTATGTCAGTCTGATCGAATATTATGATTCTGGATCAATTGCACACGACATCAGCCTCAAAAACATCCAGATTCTTATCACACTCCATCAAAGGAACTTAAATAATATTGTCAACATTACATCTAACATCAAAATGATGATTTCTACTTTTATGTATCTAATAAATCAGTACTTTATTACTAATTCAATTATTACTATTCAATAATACTAATAACGTTTCTTTTTTTCACAATAGCTTGCTCGATGGAAGAATTTTGATAAAATGTTCAAGTTGAAAAATTTGGTTTGCATTTTTGTCAGCAAGGCTGGTTTGTTTGCATTTACTATTGTCAATAGTTTTAATATTTACAGGATGAAAAAATATTTTGAGATCTTTGCCAAATTAATTTATTTTAATTTAAAATGTGTTTTTTCTTAAAATTGTATTATTTTAAAGTAAATTAAAAATTTAAGTAAAAACAACCTGAACTAACATTGTATACTTCATTTTACTGCAAGTTTCAAAATAATATTTTATAAATATAAATTGACAACGATGCACCCCAGAAAATTTTAGATAATTTATTGCTTAAAACCATTGTTATAAACTATCACTTTCTTTTTATTTCAATGCAATCAAAATATTTGCAGAATAAAACTTAAATAACTCTTGTGCATTTACTAATTTCAATTAAATTTCTGATATAATTTAATAAAATATTGTCAAAGCTTGATTTTTCACTTCAAATAAATCGAAAAATATCGATGAAATAAGAAGTGGTAAACAAGCAAGCACTGTAAAGTTTCTTACACCACAAACATAACATATCATTAAAAATTACTGCAGTGCTAATTTAATTTATTTAGTGCTCTACTATGCTTACTTTATCTCCATCTTCCACTTCAAGCATTGACAATATACTTTCTTTTCGGAGGTGCACAACACATATCATACAACACAAAAATAATAAACAAAAATCAAACTTTCCTTGCCCGATTACTGCCTCCACTAAAGACCATGCACGGATAAAAGTCCTCATCATCAGAATTGACAGGCATATATCCGTTACTGATTTGAGAGTTCCTCTTCTTTCTGATGCTTCCGAAAGGTCTTCCATTTGAAAGTATTTCTTCATTAATGGAGTTATTGATAGAGTATCGAATATCATTGGCATTTGCTTCAGAACGCATTTCGCAGTATCCAGGATTTAAGATAATGTTTGGTACTAACTCCATTGTTTCTTGGAGACACATATCATCTTCTGAAAATTGAAGATTGATTTTTAGAAAAATGTGAACTGTTTCTAAATTGACAGTGGCTAAGCTATAATTGAAGTATATACATATACAAAAAGGATATAGATAATTACATTAGAGATTCCTAGAAAAAAATACATTCAGATAGTTTACCAAGCAGAAAGTATCTATTTAGATGAAGAAGTGTGTTGCCATTTATATTGTAAATCGAGACAGAGAAAATTATAAAAATATAATAAAACCTAAATTTCAATAAAAAAATATATATTTAAAAGCTTTAGGAAAGTAACATGCTACTGAAAGCAAAGAGGTAATACAAATCAATAAATTTGATATATTATTTTATTCATTAATGCAACGAAAAACAATTCAAGCGTTGTAACCAATAGTCAAAAATCTTGTTACTGTTACTTACAAAATTTCTTGTAGTATTCAAAATTTTTTTGGCACTACACACATATCATTTATTATTTATCACATCGATACATAGGAAAATACACAATGATATTTGGGGACCATTGATAACAACAATCATGAGCACTACACTAACATTTGATCACACACAATAACTTGTGTGAAAGTATTAATAAATATTTTTGAATATCTGAAAATAATCACACAAAATACTGATGATAATTTAGTCATAATTAGAAATAAGATGGAACACTTTATAAGAAAGCAGCACACCAATAACAATCAAACCTCGGATTTTTTTTTGTTTTCGCTATTTGGATAAAAAATTTATTATGAAGCATTAAGCATAATATTAACAAAAATATAACATTAAATTAACTACACATTGAATGTCTACTACATCAAAAACTAATAACAATGTAAATGAAATAAACAAATATGATGAGATATTTGTAATTATACATGAAACACCTGGATCAAAATTATTTTCATGTAGCCAACAATTATGAATAAATAAATCAAAATCAATTTATTCAATGGAGTAATGAAATATCTATTTAATATATATATTGGCGCACACCATTATATGTTTAGTAACGTTCACAAACCAAATAACATTTATATGCAAAAAAACATCTTAAAACTTACCATTAGGCGCTCGACATTCTTTATATAGTAACAAACATGTCCCAAATGTCAGAACAGTCAGAGTGCCCATAACCACAGCAACCGCAGCCACCCAAACCCTAGTATCGAATTGATCTGCCCCTGTTAACAAATGTCTTGCCAGTTCTATAAGAAAGATAAATAATTAGCTTTAAATGTAATTATTTATAAAATAAATGTTTTACTGACCTGCCTCACCATCAAAATACAAAGTTGCTCCTAAAACTTCAACTTTTTCACCAGGCCCTAAAGCATTTGTTGCCCATACTCTGAAGGCATAAGTTGTATTTGGTATCAGATGATAAATGTCGATTTGTCTCTGTGAAAATAAAAATTCAATTAGAAAGAACAAGGACATGTAGCAGTATTTAAAAAATTATTCATATTGATAGATAAACTTACTGTACCCATACAGGTTGTGTTCAGCACTTTAAAACTTGTTATTTAGGCTATATATAATCATGGCAAACATAACAATTGTTTAAATTAACTAAAATAAAAAATCAAAATTGTTTCAACACATTTATTATAATAATTTAAAGTACATGAAGCAAAAACAATATAAAAATGAATATATAATAAATAAATAATAATTCAAAAACATAAATAAATATAGACATATAATAGAAGGGCTGAAATAAAATTAATTATAAGATTAAAAACACAAGAAAATAATCTTCAGTGCTTATAAAATAAATAATAAAAATACCTAGAGATAATGGCTAAAAAAAATCAATGAGAAATAATACCAAAACTATAAAGATTATTACACTGTACTTACCGTATTAGGACTCATATGTGCAGGACTTATAATCTTCCATGTTTCATTTTCAGGAGCACCACTACCATTTGGAAAACTATGCAGTTTATATTCAGCTGTAAAATCAATTATCGGATAACCCCCTGAACCATTAACATTCCATAAAACCAGCCCCAAAACTGTAGACATATGTGTTGTTACATTTACTAAAGGTGGTGGAGGAGCTAATAACAAAATCATGTATATGAATAATAAGATTACAAGTTTATCAATATTTTTTATATTATCTACTTACTTCTTACTATAATCTTAATAGATTCTTTTTTATTTCATTCCCATCCCGATTGCAAGTATAAATTCCTGCATCAGAAGGCTGAACGTCCCAAATGCCTAAACTACCATTATCTTGAACATTTGAGTGATCTGGAGGTTCACGACCGTCTCTAATCCAAGAGACTACACCTTGTTCACCAGGACATGGCAGTGTTAAATTGTTACCAATATCTACTGCTACTACACCAGGCTTGATTGTTGTAACCGCTGCACTAAAAACTACAATCATAGAATTTATTAAAATATACTCACACAGAACAATAATAATAAATAAGTGAATTTTCAGTCTTTATAATAACAGTTTATGCTAATCGTTTACTTGATTATTAAAACATAAAAATTCAAATTCACTACAAAATCACACCTGAAAACATATAAAACAAATCGATTTTTATGACATGTCATTATCTATATTTATACATGTACGTTTACCTGAAGAAATGAAAAAGCTTATAATATTTGCTAGCACCATAAAAGTCCACATTTTGAAACTGTTATTATGCCAAATAAATTATTTTCAAATAAAAAATACGACTTTACATAATATAAACACTATTTCTATTGGAAGCCAGCAACAGTTTAGTATTAAGCAAGCTTGAATTACATATCACTACGAATGTTGTGCAAGCGCGAAATTTGCAATTTACATTCAATACGTGACTAAAGGCTTAAAAAGATAAGATATATTATAGTTTTAAACACTATCACAGCCTTATTTAAGTATTAAGTAATGTTTTAGTTGGGATTTAAAGAATCTTAAGGAGGATGTCGATTTTGACAGATGACGAACCCGTACACCAGAAAGGCCGACATCAGCGCTCTGGTGAGAGTTGACAAAAGCTAATAAAAAGGTCTGCGAAGTTCAAAATTACAATTTGATAAAGCATAATAAACTACTACTTTATAAATCACCTTTAAACAATTAATAGTTATAGATTCTAATAGTAAAAATGCATGCTTAAAAAAATTTTCGACGTTGTTGATATACAAATAATCAAGATTTCAGCTTAATGTTTTCACATATGTCGATAAAAGGAACATTTTATGCAGACATTTGTATTAAATAAGACATGGATCATAAATAAAGAATAAATGAAAAATTATAAATAACATAATATAATTATATTAAAATTATGCATTATATCTTTTTTTCTCGCAAAAATATGGTTTCTGCATTCACAAAAGTCAGCAAAAGTGGTTCTACAGAAAAAATGTTTTGAAAGTACCTACCTTAATTCCTAAAATTTAAATAAAATAATAGAAAACTTTTCCAAAACGATGACAAATTTTTAATAATCAATATTTACATCTCAAATCACACAGACTAAAAAAGTGCTATTTTATTTTTTTTAAATACAAATCAATTTTTATAAAACATTTATACATTTAATAGCAGTGAATATATAAATTAAATAGTAAATAATGAGTTTATATTACAAATAAATAAATTAAAATACCTATAATGAATTGAACAATATACAATTTACAATTGATATAAAAATGAAATCAATGCTATTTATAGACAGCTTTATCAATAATTATATAGATTTTTGACTAGATTTTAGGCCGTGTTTTACCAAGCAAACCTCATATGATACGTATAGGAAATATTCACAATATGTTTATAAATATTTTCATACGTAAACGTTGCGTTTTTAATGTTTATCTGATAATATTTATAATAAAGAAATAAAAAATCAAATGTTTAAAACAATTTTTAGTTATTAATTTTGTTTCTTAAATCTATCTAAATTTATGCTAAAGTTTATATTATCCATCGGCAAATCGCTGCTTAAATATAACTATATTATTTATATATTTATTTATGTACAAAAAACAAAATATTTACACATTTTTTTAAAACTTTGATAATATCACTCATTTAACTAAAGCCTAAAATTGTTGCAACGCCATGGAAAAAACGGGACACAGGACACTCGTAAAAATTAGTTTATTCGTATCAACAAATAGATGTATTAAAACTATATGTACAAATTAGAACTTTAGTCAACAGAACACAAGGAAGTCCTTATCAAATCACAAACTGTCAATTGGATTGGCTAAACTTGTAGTCTATTCGCAAGTTCTCTTACACCAGCGTCTCCCGCCGACACTAAAAGCTGGTGGTCACCTTATCCGGATAAGGACGACACCAGTTCCACTCATAACGACGAACCGAACTCCGAACTCCTCCGGCGATCGACGTGCTTCAGATAAGTCTCCGAATAGACACTTTTTTTTCTGTCCTCATATGGTCGCAGAGAAGATCTCCTAGTGTCCAAATCATCCAGGTCCACGGGCTGGTTCTTACACAAGCTGCAAAACGCGCACTGCAAGGTGTTCCTAAAGGCTTCTCGAAACTCGCGGTTGAAGTAAGCGTAGATCAAAGGATTCAAAGTGGAGTTGAAGTAACCGATCCAGAATACTATAGCGACTACACATCCGGGCAATCGCAGTGTTCCACAACAAGGACGTGCTAAGGTACCAGGAGAAGAATGGAAGCCAACACAATACGAAAGTACCCATGATTATGCTTAAGGTACGTGCAGCTTATGCTCGCGTTTCATCTTGAT